ATATGAAATTTATTTTGTTTCATTACTTAAAATAATTTATTTTTGTATAAACTATTCAAATAACAAAATAAATAGTTGAGTATTTTCTTAAACTATAAATAATTGACTATTTCGTTTACGTCAAAGTTAGTACTGACCTGTAAGTTATTGAGTAATTTATTAAATTATAAATAATTGACTATTTCGTTTACGTCCAAGTTAGTATTGACCTGTAAGCATATTTTTTAAACCCGCCTCGGTAATCGACCCGGGTAGATCTCCGGGTCATCGGTTCAACTGTCGGGTCCCCGGGTCAATTACTGAACCGAATAATTATTTTTAAAATTTTAAAATTATATATAAAGAGTAACAAAATAAAATGTTTCATGACTAAAATCTGTACATTAAAGTGTTTATAATATGTATCTCATGATAATACTTATCACGTAAACATATATACATAGTTTTATTTTGAAAAAAAAAATGTAAAACAATATATATGGGCCGAGTCAACCGGGTTGACCCAGCCGGGTCAATGCACCGGATCGGCCGGGTCAAGGCCTATTTGGCCGGGGTTTGACCGGGTCCTTTGTTGCTCGGTCCCAATAGTCAACACGGACCGGGTCGGGCGGCTCTCGGGTCGACCGTCGGGCCGGTCCGGGTCAAAAAACTATGCCTGTATGTTATAAATAATTACTTTCTATTTTTAATTTTAAATAAAAAACTATTTATTTTTGTAATATATTATATACCAAATTTAAAAGGTGGTAGTTGTAAGTTTTGTCAACATATTATATTAAAAATTTAAATCATACTTCTAATAAAGGTAATAGCCGCAATATTTGACCAAATGATTATTTACATTAATATTGACAAGACTTTCAATTTTTTTCCAAACATATTACTCAATATAATAAATACTTTAGGCGGAAAACTAAATAATTTTTTTTGGCTAATTTTTAGTTGCTATTTCAGGTAAATATCATTGCCTCTTTATATATTAATAGATTTAATAAATAAAAATGAGTAAATAGGATAATATAGTCAAATATCATAATTAAAATTATAACATTTGATAATAACTGAAATATATAATTTATCTAAACATTTAAATTGGATATTAATACACTCATTATATATGTTGAATAAATTTATTAAATATATAAATATAGACAAAAATCTAAAAATAAAAAAATAGTTTACTATGAAAAGAATTTGTTGCATAATCGATTAAAGTTACTACAATTTAAATTTAACTATCAACAATTGATATTTCATGCATCTAAAATTATAATAACGGAAAATAAATTTTACGGGTTAAAACATTAGTTAGCTATCGAACAATATGCAAAATATGAATCGGTGAAAAAATTATAAGATCAAGATAATTAATATTTTACAAGTATATGTAAGAAATTTGTATGCAAACTTCCTATTTAAAATTTAGATATTGATACTATTTTATAAACTTATAAATAGTAAGATTTATATATTAAATAGTCAAAACCTATAAAAATAAATTAAAAAACATATTCAAAACAAAAATTTATATTATTACTCACTTGATATATTGAGTCGGATATAATTACCTTGTTGTGTTAAATAAATTAATAATATTTGAATAATAAAATATTTATTTATAGTATACCTCGTGCATTGCACGTATATCAACACTAATATATATAATAAGAATAACTATTTACTGAAATAGTAGTAATTTTTTTTTTTTGTAGCATTTAATGCATAACTTTTATTTAGAAACTTTTAAAGTATATGCATTAATTGATTCTATATACACTTTGTCAAATAAAATTAAATCATATATGATCAAAAATAATGTTTCTTTAAACAATTTTATTAACATATGCAATAATTCCATTGACAATCATTTTAATAAATTACAAGATTGATTTTCTGTGATTCATGTTTATAATATTTTGGTCAAAATAAATATTACAACATATTTTAAGTTCTAACTTCTAACTATAATATTATTTTTTTCACAAAAATATTCATTTTTTATCCAAAAAATATTTATAGCAAATCGTAACAGGTTAGGTAGAAATTTTTTCTTCCAATTAATCAGGCGCATCAAGTTGGTGAATTAATATTTGTTAGTGTAATTTTTTCTTAAACTTTATTTCGTTATATATAAGAACAAATTATTCTTCAAATTATTATAATTTACTATTTAAGAGATAATGATAGATACATTAAATAGTTTTACTATTGGTCAAAATTAAAATTAAAATATATTACTATTATTTAAAATTTATTTGTATATTATTGGCAACCATGATTATTTTTGTTATTTTACCATTGTTTTATGTTGATTTCTTTCTATATTGAAAGTATGGTAAAATATATTCTCATTGCAGAGTATGCTAAATAAACTATAAATAATTATAATGCAAATTAGAAAATCTTAGGGGTTGAGTTTTTGGCATTTCCTAAATCATAATTATTTAATTAGTATACAAAATTAAATTCTAAAAAAAACATATGTGTATTTTGTAAAATATTTATACACTGTTTAATTTTAGATTTACTTACATATTTTAAATTGATTACATAAATAAATAAATAACTTACCTTGAATATTTTTTCATTACATAAAAATAAAAATAAAAAGAAGACGTATAACTTTTATAAATAAAAATAACATTATATGTCAATAAAATTTATATAAAATAATAAAAAACTTATAATAAATAATATTTAAATATTTCAAGGATAATTAAAACAGTTATTTTATCTTATTTCAATGAATAAATATATATATTGAAATTAAATTTATTAGTATAAATGTGTTAGTGAGATAATATATTAATTATTTTACAGGTTAGCCCCAACATGCTCATATTTAATGTTCTTGCTAAAAAAACAACGTCGATTAAAAGACGTAGAAAACATATTATAACCCTATTGTGACTTAATAACGCTAATTAAAAGAGGTGGAAAATAGATGATAACACTATACATTTTTGGACTTAAACGGACATAACGTGTGAAAATAACTCATTTAATATCTTTGTCCCGTGTATCAAGCGGGGTACGTACTAGTATTAATTAAAAGTAAGTGAAAAATATGTGAGACCCATAAAAAGAGGTTTATAGAGTTTATTGTTATTGGAGGCTTAGACCACCCACAACCATAATTCACAACTTCCATTCATTCAATAAAAAGTAAAAAATGCTATAAGTACATAATAAATGTACATAGAGGTGTACATAACACTAATATAGAGTGGGGTCACTTGGTTTTTTTTGTTTTTGGTAGCATTCACTTAATGTGAGTGCTATGTACACATCTATGTACAATATTATGTACCTATAGTATTTTTTTTTAAAAAAAAATTAACACTCTTTCTCATCCAAATCATCTTTCCACTAAATTTATCTCCATTTAAACACACACTCATATGCCTATCTATTCATTTAAATACATATATGGGACACATTATCCATTCATTCAATATAATTTTAATTTACTATAAAAACCTAAAAGTTGATTATTTTTAAATTATAATAATAATTTTAAATGCATGAAAATAAAAGAACACTAAAAGACCAAAATAACTTAAATTAAGATTATACAAAAAAAAAGTAGAATTACAAAAATAACTTTTTTAGTTGGTGGGAAAACGAGTCCAAATATGTTCAACTAAGTCGGCACGAAGTTGATAATGCATTGTATTATCTCATATCTCTGAACTTCTACGAATATAATTTTAAAATTTACAATTTGAACCCTAGACAGGTTGTGCGGGCTCTTCATCCTCGTCATTGTGTCAATTTGTTACTACATCTCTTTCATCTTGAACAATCATATTGTGTAGAATAATGCACGTCAACATAATAAATTTCAATTTTTTTGTATACCAAAATCGGCCAGGACCTCTTACAATTGTCCATCGATACTGAAGCACCCCAAATTCTCTTTCCACATTCTTTCGAGCAGCTTCTTGTTTTTATTTAAATAACTTTTTTTTATGATCTGACGGGCAAGAAAAAGACTTTACGAACGTAGTCATTCTGGATATATTCCATCAGTTAGATAATATCCATTTGCATATTGCGTGCCGTTGATAATAAAATGAATGTTTGGTGCATTTCCTTGCAATACATTATTAAAAAAAGAGATTCATATAATACATTGATATCGTTACGTGATCCTACAATACCGAAAAAGACATGTCATGTCCACAAATCGTGTGAATCAACCGCTTCAAGGATGATCGTAGGAGACCCATGCCCTCTTGTGAATTGGCATTTCCAAGCAACTGGACAATTTTTCCATTCCCAGTGCATACAATCAAGACTTCCAAGCATACCCGAAAAATCGGGATTTTCTTCATGCATTTGGAGAAGTCTTCCAAGCGAGTTTAAGTAATGTAATATTTGGTATTAGGGAATGAAGAGCAAAATTTATTAATTAGAAACTAAATAGAAAATTGGAAGAGGTTTGTGGATTTAGAATATTCGATATTAGGAATGAAGAGGAAAAATTATTAGTTAGAAACTAAATAGAAAATCAGAAGAGGTTTGGGGATTTAGTCAGAAATTAACATATATTGATAGATGAGAGTATCCACAATGTTTTGTCAGTTCAATCAAAAAAATTTGTATGCCACTTAGGAAATAGACACAGTCTAAAAAAATATATATTCTCCGATCCAAATGCAAGCAGACTGAGTATTGCAAATGTGGCAGCAAAAAAAACGATTGATCTACCCTTAAGTCTATAGTAGAGACCTAATCTCACCGCGTTCGAGTGAATTTTGTTAATTTTATACAGTTTTATTTATGTCATTCAAGACTGAGTTTATTTACATGACGCATAACCAAACCTAGATAAATGCATTGTAATTTTCCTATTTCAAATATATATAAATAAATCCATATAAAGCCCCACCCAAGAGCGGTCAATATATAGGTAAAAAGCCACTGACTGCGTTTAGATTCACACAAATACTGCCACTGCTCTCAAGCTCTCCAGCATCTTTATTCTTCTTTCCGCCATGGATACTATTCTCAGATCTCTTCTCTACCTACTCTTTTTCTCCATCCTCCACATTTCAGGTACATTTTCAAGCAAAAAAAAAAATAACATTTTCATTTTTATTTTCATATGCCAAATTTCTTGTAATGTAATCGAACCCAATTTCTTGTTAATTTATTGTGCAATTTTTCTTCTGCTTCCCAGTAGAGGCCTCAGGTACAACAATGACGCTGTATAATAAGTGCAGCCACCCGGTGTGGCCTGGCATCCAGCCCAGCGCCGGCAAGCCGGTCCTCGCCCGGGGCGGCTTAAGGCTGCCGCCGGGAAAGGTGTATAAGCTCCATTTGCCCGCTGGGTGGTCGGGCCGGGTGTGGGGACGCCACGGCTGCGCCTTCGACGCCGATGGCCGCGGCCGCTGCGCCACCGGTGACTGCGGCGGGGCCCTCTTCTGCAACGGCGTCGGCGGGACCCCTCCCGCCACGCTGGCCGAGATAACACTCGGGAACGAGCAGGATTTCTATGACGTCAGCCTCGTCGACGGCTACAATCTCGCCATTTCCATTACGCCATTCCGTGGCTCAGGTAGAAATTCATGTTTTTCTTTCCCCTCCCCCCAAAAAAAATAGGAAATTTCAGATTTTCTTTTTCCCCCTTTTTTTCAGCTTGGCCCTTTTACCTCGCTGAATGCAGGCTTGGATCTTGTTCATTTAATGGGGAAAAAAACTAACAAGAAAACATGTTATACTGTGCATTTTATGATATATAATGTGGAGAAATGTT